TGTGCGCGCCGCATACGTAATGGCGCGCATACGCAACGCAACGCAACGCATACAAACCGCGCTCGGTGCGTTTCTATGAAGATAACCTACTCATTTGTATTTACTCTGGTTAAACGCTATAATTCTGGGTTTTTAGAGCTAGAAAAGTTCTTTAAATAGTTTCTTGGAAATGTGTCAACTAAGAGTAGGCGTACCGTTGATTTTTAGTTGGCCGATAGTTGTGCCCGATTTTAAATTGTATGAAGAATCGGCCAAATCGAATCGGCGTAGTGTGCGCACTCCCATACATGCCCATACTGATCAACTGCCCGACTAAACTATCGGCCGACGAAAAATCAACGGTGTGCGCCTACTCTAACTAATTTACTTTGCATGTATGAAAACTTTTCATTTTCAGTCAAGTGCGATCTATCACTAAACAGTCTTCACTAACTTTAAAATATCAACGTTCAACAGTTATTAAACTCTAAGCTAACGTATAAGGCTTGGGTATAGGCACATCGAATTACGTTGGTTAAGGTAAATGTAAACATAGATTAGAAATTAGAGATGAGGAGATCCGTAAACGAACTAAAGTCGGTGACATAGCCCGACGGATTAGCAAGCTGAAGTGGCAATGGGCAGGGCACATAGTACGCAGAACTGACGGCCGATTGGGCAGAAAGGTTCTGGAGTGGAGGCCGCGTACCGGAAAACGCAGCGTGGGACGTCTCATAAGGTAGACCGACATCATAAAGGTAGCAGGAAGGCGCTGGACGCAGGCCGCTACCAACCGGGCAACATGGAAAGCATTGGGGGAGGCCTATGTTTAGCAGTGGACAGGGCCGGATCTACCTATGGGCTGATTGGGCTGCAGCCCAGGGCCCCGGGGTTACAAGGGGCCCCCAGATCCCGCTAAAAAGTAGGCCATAACTTGAAAAAAAAAAGTTGTCTGTAAAGTCGGTTTACAACGTTGACAACGTCATAAGAAAATATTGATTAAAAAGTTGCATATATTTTTGGTCCAAAATCAAAAGTGCCGGCCAACAAAAAAAAGTGCTGTATACTGACAGAATACGTCTACCTTAGCATTTGTTACTATGGCACCAAAGCTGTAGCACCACTGTGCGTCGAGTTTTTGAGATCTAAAATTCATCTACGATTCAAACATTTTTTGTTCATAATCAAAAGTGTCGGTCAATAAAAAAAGTGCTGTATTCTGACAGAATACGTCCGCCCTATCATTTGTTTAACTATGACACCAAAGCTGTAGCACCACTGTGCGTCGTAGTTTGAGATCAAAGTCATCCACGTTTCATATATTTTTGGTGCATAATCAAAAAGTGCTGGCCAAAAAATAATGTGCTGTATTCTGAGAGAACACACACGGCAACTTCGCTCTCGGTACTAAAGAAATAAACCGACAGGGAATGACACACGCGAGACCAGCGGTGAAGGGTTGAGGGAGGGGTGTGTGGTCGGTCTCCGGTTCAAGCCAAGTCAGTCGGCCACTAAACTCCTAGTCCTGTCATGTAACTCTGTTGAAGGGTATGTCGCCTGTTAGGGCACTGGCCACACGACCTTCAAGTGCGCCGCTGGAATTGACCGCAGTGGACTGTTTCCGCTGCGGTGAAGGGGGCCATAAGGCCAAAGTGTGCTCGGTCCAAGTTCTCCGCTGCTTATTGTGCTCCGNTACCTACATACCAAATTTCAAGCGTCTAACTTAAGCAGTTTAGATTTTTCATACAAAAGGATTTTCCCGCTAATTCCCGTTCCCGTGGGAATTTCGGGAATTCCTTGTTGTAACTAAGCTTTAAGTTTACTAAGGTACCTACATGCCAAATTTCAAGCGTCTAACTTAAGCAGTTTAGATTTTTCATACAAAAGGATTTTCCCGCTAATTCCTGTTCCCGTGGGAATCCCTAAGTATACTATAACCTGCCCAGGAGTATGAAAAATAATTGTACCAAGTTTCGTTAAAATCCGTCGAGTAGTTTTTGTTTTTTTTTGATGAATTTTGATGGCCAGAACTGGCACATGACTGTGGCCAGAAATGGGGTAAAGCTGGCCAAAAATGGCACAAATTCCCATTTCTTTTTCTTTTCTACAGGATTATTTTTCCATTGAATCATTATGAAAAAAAATGTATCCTTAGGCTAGATCTAAATATATTTAATCACAAAAACTGTAAAATGATAAAGCCTCAAAGTCTAAAAAATTCTTAAAATGGCCAAAACCGGGTCACCTGCCCTACATCGTGTTAACCAAAACATATTAAAAACGCCATGTTTCGGCAAGATACTTCATTTGTTTTAGTAAATAGTTTAATCGTAAATGTTAAAAAGACAGACTTTTAGAACTCAAATACTACGATGCACAGTGGTGCTACAGCTTTGGTGCCATAGTAACAAATGCTAAGGTGGACGTGTTCTGTCAGAATACAGTACTTTTATTTTTTGGCCGGCACTTTTGATTTTGGACCAAAATGGATGATGTCCTTTTTGAGATATTTTTTTAATTTTTTTTTCTTCCAATTACTTCTTGTAAGAAAACGTAATAACTTTTAAACTAAGAGGTACCTATATCCTGATAAAATAAATACAGTAATAATGCTAAATAACAGGCGATACTAAAAAAATACATAAAATACTCAGAAAATGGCAACAAATAATAAAAAAATGATCATAGCAAATGTTGTAATAGGGATAGAGACTTCCGATTTTTGGTTTTACAAAATTAATACGATAGAGAATAATACAAAGTAATAAAAACCACCTGTTATGGGGGCATTTTTTGAAGAAATTTATCAAATAACCAAAAAAACACGAATTTAAAAGCAGATTTTTTTCAAAAAGTATATTTTTTTATTATTTGTTGGCATTTTCTGGGTATTTTATGTATTTTTAGTATCACCTGTTATTTAGAATTATTACTGTTTTTATTTTATCAGGATATACCTCTTAGTTTAAAAGTTATTACGTTTTCATTACAAGAAGTAATTGGTAGAAAAAAAATAAAAAAAAAAACTCAAAAATTTTTTGACAGGCCCTATTAAGATAGGCCCCCAAGTAGTTTCAGCCCAGGGCCCCACAAATTCACGATCCGGCCCTGGCAGTGGAAGTCTTATGGCTGAAATGATGTTTAATTAGAGACCGATTAAAGACTGAGTTTGTTCCGCCACTTCTCAGCACCAGCCCATATGTCCCGAAGTGGTGGTAGGGCAAGCTTATCACAGCATCCTTTCTTGCAATTTGGTAATTCGTAGCAAAATTTAAATGATGTCGGGGGAATTTGATAAATTAGTTAGAAAACCGAGTTCTATTAAGGGAAGGTTAACAAAATTGAATCAATATAAAAATATTTTAGAGAATGTACAATTTCAAACCTTCACTACCGTCCAAATAAGGGAAAAATTGCCTTTAACAGCGCATAGCTAAATGTGAAGAATTAACGGCTGAATTTTATGAATTGCAAGGAAACAGAGGACTGCTGTGACAGTGAGGTAGAATTAGCGAAACAAATAGACGAAAGAGAGAGCAAACAAATAGACGAAGTAGAAACAGGAATAATACATGTTACGGCCTTTTTAAAGGACTTTTTTTATCCACAACGAGGAAGCTCTTGGCCTGTATCTCACCTGATGGTAAGTGATGATCAGGCCGAAGGTGGAAGCGAACTTCACCCGGAATCCTCAACCACAGAGGAACTGGCAATCTTACCTCTAACTGCCGGAACACAACAATGCTGTTAACATTGTTGTTATGGCGACAGACTTAGGTAAGATGGTAGTAGCTAGCCAGGCGGACTTGGAACAAGCCCTACCACCAACCAAACCGAACAGAAAATTCTGCCCCCACTGGGAATCGAACCCGGGCCCTCTGCATCTGAAGCAGGTGGTCTAACCACTAGACCACAGAGGCGGTTAGACTTATTTGAAAAATTAGTATTTGGGACGTGTGTAAGTGGCTTGAAAGGGCCTACAAAAAAGTATTATTTTTCAATAACTGACTTTCAGCTAAAGAACTGCATATGAAAACATTTGTGATGTATCTAACATAATATTTATTTATGTTATTCACCAAGTGTGTGGATAGTTTTTACAACGAAAAACTGCACACAACTTTTGAATACATATCTATATTTATAAAAGCGAAAGGTTTGATTGACTCAGATTGACTGACTCACTCACTCATCACGAAATCTCAGAAACTACAAGTGCCAGAAGTCCAATTTTGCATAGGGGTTCCTTTAGAACGTAGATGCTGACTAAGACGGGATTTTGCAAAATTCAGCCCCTAAGGGGGTAAAACAGGATCCACGCGTACGAAGTCGCAGGCGGCCGCCAGTATTGATTATAACTATAAGATTTTATTGTAAAATCGCTGAGGTGATGTTGATTCGAACGTTATATTTCTTTTCATGTTTACAAGTACCAAAACCAACACTACTAACTATAATAATTAAAATACTAAACTACACATAGCCCGTATCGGCTTTCGAATTTTTTAAGCACTTAGCCTAAGCGCAGACCACCGATTTTTAGTTGGCCGATAGTTGGGCCCGAAGAATCGGCCAAATCAAATCGGTGTAATGTGCGCACTTCCATACATGTTCATACTGATCAACTGCCCGATTAAACTATCGGCCGACGAAAAATCTATGGTCTGCTCCTAGCCTTAATTTAATTGACAACTGACAAGACCAGTCAGGCCCTATGCACCCCGCGAAACACAATTTATACCAAATGGAATGTTTAAAATCTTAAATTACCTAATTTTAAAATTGGAATTGCCAGTTCAATAATCAACGAACATGGCAACACTAGATAGCATCATAAAGACTAATCTTACAGAACGGTCACTTATTCGTTTTATGCCTAATTTTTCAGCCCTTCTGTGTCAATATTATTGTAATCTTATAAATATTTTTAATGGCAATTATTAATAATACGCCTGTATTCACAAACATTACTATGAGGTCTCACAGTGCGCGTGAACGCACAGGGTGACACACGAACCAATCACAGAGCTCTATTCAACGCTGTGCGTTCGATAGCAAGCATGGTTTGTGAATACGGGGTAAGTGTAACTTTAAAGTTTTGGCATTTTAGAACATTTATATTTAAAAATAATGCAATCCCTTTGCACTCTAATAATACTGCAGGAAGCCATTGCTTTGGCATAATTGAGGAATATAAAAATGTGACCAATTGAATACTGATTGGCAAATATTATTCTGACAAGTTCTGAGTTCGTTTAACCTTATTTTTCTAACACGGAAGCATATCAATGAGCAACAAGCATTTCACACGTACAGTCAGCGTTAAATAGTTCGTGTCACAAAAAGTAGCCAAAAAGTTCTAAACACGTCTTTGTTACAATTTGGAATAAAGTTGACAACTTTTTAGCCTATTTGGGTGTTACGAATTTTTGACGCTGAGTGTACATATTAGTAACTATTCTTTTTAAGTCACGAAATACAAAATACATCAAAAATTTTAATAGTGACACACCCTAGCCCTCGGTCATCATAATATATGTTTTATAAACTGTATTGTACCTACACTACAATATAGACATAGGAATCGCCCTCTGTTCCTAGAAATAGTAATGAACATCTAGTTCTCGCTGATTTTAGCTGGCTTTACAAACTGTATTGTGCCTACTTATCAATCGATTGGCCTCTGCAACTATTTAGACATTGGAATCGCCCGGTTCCTCTGTTTTGTCTGTGGCTATAGTTTTTAAGTTCAGCGTTGACAGCTGACTGACAGGCACGCTAGGGTGGTCCGAGTAGCTGTTGGAACCTCGCACCGGCCCCCACCGGCTGAAGTGTTTTGTTTCACCATCGTCTGTCTCGCTTCCATCACGTGATATCGTCCCAAAAGTGCTGTTACTTTTCATAGTGTTGTATCTGCTGCTTTCCACTGACGGCAAGTCGATCATGACCGCTTCCAAGGCTATGTCCTGCTTCAAACTGAGCTGTGAGATGCTCCTCTTCATCCCAGGATCGCTCTCCACGTTCAGTTGTTTGAACAGATTCTCAGATAAACTCTGTCTGTTGATTTTCTTCGCACCGATCACTCTGTCAACAGGCTTGGATCTTTCGATGCTGCGTCTCGGTTCTTCTTCGATTTCTTTCGGGACGTCTCCGTAAGCCATGATCGGGTTTCTCTTAATGTCGTCTGCGCCACTAAAGACGGAGAATCCTGATATCTTCTCTGACACCAATTTCAAGTTTGAAGTCGACCCGTATTTCTGCATCTTGGTCAGTTTGCCCCTTTTGTGTGTGTTATAAGCGCTGGTCGCGGCGGATTTGGTAGCTCGTTCAGAGTTTGGACTTATGCTCCTTCTGCGTTCCATGTTAGGGGTGTTCGCAGCCGACAAGAAGTTGAGGCTCGTTCTGGAGCGGGTTAGGGACCCTATAAGTGATGTTCTCTGGTGGTAAGCGCTTAATACATGTTGCAGTACGTTCTTCGGCCATGGCGCGTCGAGGTACAGTCCTCGGTCCTGGATAGGCTTTCCGAACTTCTTCTCGTGGTCGTCGAGGTGTTTCGCGAAGAGATTTATGAGGGTCTGCATAGAAACGGCCGCGTTAGACGAGCGTGGCTCGGGACGGCACAGACATGAACGCTTTGGGGATTTTGGTTGAAACGAGGAGAGACGGGTGGGGGATTCGTTAGTTCTGATAGGGAATATGCATGACTGTTTTTAATGAGTCTACATGGTCTATAAATTGATATCTGTACGCTTTAATTCTGTGATCTGGTCAAGATGACGCGTTTTTACTCGCGCGATTGTTAGAAACTAGAGATATTGTGAAATACTTCATACATTCTATCCACATGCGGTGGGACATATTCAAAACGCGCGACTGCATGTGAAATATATGAAACTCTGAAAAAAAAAGCGCGACATTTGGATGCTTTTGTGTGTATAGGAAAACTCACCGACAACCGTTTTGTGAAAAATCTGTTAGTCAAAAAATAGTTCTCATGCATATTCCCTATTGGTAAAAAAGTACAAACGATATTACACAACTTCAACAATTTTTTTGGTTTCCAATGGGGAAACTAACCGCGGAATAAAAAAAATAAACAAAAGTACACGACAAAAACATCGTGTTTTCACGCTGAAAACAATTTTGATCGAAATGTACACCAAAAAAGGATGCAATAAGAGAATCACACATTCTTTGTGACGCTAATAAGTAAAAAGCAGTTTTAGAGAAGCAGTGTACCGAAATCTCTGCTTGTTTCAACCACAGCTCTCTGCCATGGTTTCATTGTCATTTCTATTCATAAAAACTAGTTTTTAGAATCATTATCAGTTATTGGACAAGTGTTTTTATTTAGATTGCTTTAAAGACGAGTATTGTACAGACAGCGTCAAATAGTTTGTGTCACCCAAAGTAGCCAAAATTGAACACAACCTTATTTCAATTTGAGACGTGTTGCGAACTTTTTGGTCACTTTGGGTGTCACGAAATATTGACGCTGACCTTGCAACTGACCGTTTCACTCCATCTATCGGCAATATTTAGAAGTATAAACTACTTCGTTTCAAGTCGATAAAAAAAATCTATTATTCGACTGCCCGTAAATATCAAATCATTTAATACACAATAAATCAAAAGCCTAAAATATATTAACAAATAAAATGAAACGTGTATAAGCGCCCTGGAAGGGGCCTAAGTACTGAATTTATTTATTTGATTTGTTTTGAAACTAAAAATGCGAGCCCAACGCGTAAAGCGTTGACGCACTCTTTCTAAACTTTAAGGGCAAATTGAAGAAACAATTCCGAAACAAGCAAGAAATATACAGATTTGTCTTTTTTATTTACATTTCACTAAAATAGACAACATTCAGTGGTTAAAACGACAAAATTAATCGAGAATTTGATGCTACAGTAACACGTCCATAAGGCAAGCGAAATAAAAGAAATTAATATGCTACATTGAAACTTCAGTAAAACCATGGCAAAGGCAAGACCGCCACCGGTAAGTAGACACCAAGCGAAGCATGCTATACCATTAGTTGCTCATGCGCTCAGCATGCTGGAATGTTGGTGAACAATTTTGTATTTCATAGGATCACAAATTTTATTTATAGCGACAGGCCGCTTTTACACGCTAAGAAAAGTCGCCGGGCTTCCGCAAGAATTCGTGTCGTTTCTACACACGAACCGTGCAGAGTGTACAATGTACATTGCTCCGGCGCTGACCAAGAAATAATTCTTCTCTACGCTAGATACGACACGTGTGAGACAAACACTATGATCCCGGCCTTTTCAAGGCGAGAGTGAATAAACACTTAACACCAGGTGCGATTGTGGTCAAATATCTGCCGTGTTGTGATAAAAAAAATTTCGTAGCTAAGTCCGACGAAATTCTTGTCTTGTCTGCGGTGGACACGGTGAAATTTCTTAGCGTGTATAAGAAGCCAAAGGCTATGGTTATATCGTAGTCAGGGCTATCGTATACTTAACAGTTGGCACCACTGGTGATTGACCTTACTCTACAGTAGAGCCAACTGGTGAGCGCTAACAAGATAGACTTCATTGATATCTCTCAAATGCAAAAATCCTAGAAGTCAAAGATATGACAAAACTGTTCACCAACATTTGATAGGGGCTTAAAATAATTTAATACACAATCATGCTTTACGCACATCAAAAATTATAATACAATATGACAGTACGTAAATAGGATTTTTTTCTTTTCGCTATCACTCAGATTTTTGATTAAGTGGTAGCTAGGGAACTGTGCTGAGTCCATTGGTGTTGTGCAAGGCACCATTTTGGGTGCAACAAAAGGAGTCCTGCAAGGTACCATATTAGGTGCTGTACTTAAGGTGTCACCCAAGGTACTATTTTGGGTACACCAAGAGGTGTCCCGCAAGGTACCTTACTAGGTCACATACTTTAGGGTGTCACCCAAGGTACTATTTTGGGTCCTCCAAAAGGTGTCCCGCAAGGTTCATTTTTAGGTCCTGTGCTGTAAAACCATAAAAACTCACCAGCTTCCTGTCTCCAAGGGTGGCGCGCCACTCCTTCAGCTCGGCGGAGTAGCGCTCCTCCACCGCCTTCATCTTGTTGGTCTCGTGGTTCATCAGAGCCTTGCGCTTCTCGTTCTGGTACTGCTCCAGTTCGCGCAGTAACGCCTGGAGAAATTATTAAATAGATAAAATAGTGTAGAATTGAAACCTAACTCTCAGCACTGAGACTACAGCTGAGTGTCACGAACTATTTGACGCTGACTGTAAAATCAAAAAATCAAAATCAAAAATATTTATTCAGTTTAGACCACAAGTGGCACTTATGAACGTCAATAGAAAATAATAAAAAAAGAAAAGGTAGACCTTATGGGGCACTTTACATGTCTCCTTATCTTTTGGGCCCTACCAGCGCTTCGAGACAAACATATGGCAAGTGCTGAGAAGAAACGCCGGAACAAACACATGTACATAATCTTGCTAAATTCTCTTTAGAATTTAGAAGCCTCTTTAGGCTGACAATAACCCAACCAGTGAAGATTAAGTTTGTCCCTGGGGAAATGGACCTGCAATGAAGTTAACAGGAACATATAGGAAGAGTTAGAAGTTACGGATTGATTTCCCTCCTTTGCAAAGTGGGAGATAGTGGAGATAGATGACTGAAAACAATTTTTTGCAGGAACTTGTATTTTGTAGGATTTTTTTGTAGGATCCCGTTTAGCAGTATACGTGTTTTAATACTAACATCCAACGAACTCGTTTACAGTGTCTCGCAATAGATTTGTTCGAATTTTGGAATTATTTTTTATTTGTTTGAAATTATTTTTGCGGGATCCCGCTAAACTGGATCGCCGTGGGAAAGAGGTCTAACGCGCGTATTCACAAACATTACTATGAGGTCTCACAGTGCGCGTGGACGCACAGGGTGGCACACGAACCATCAGCAAATCACAGAACTCTATTCAACGCTGTGCGTTCAATTAGCTGCTTCACTTAAGCAAGCATCGTTTGTGAATAAGGGCTCTAAGAATGAGATCAACCCACCACCACCCATGGTTGTTCCTGCCTCACGGCGTACGAACCGAATCTCGGGAGAGCGCGCGGGTACTTGCTCTGGGCTCTTTTCCCGGGCGCTTTGCTTGACTCCCTACAAATGGCAATGCCAGATTTTGTATGGAAGGTGGCGTCTTTTTTTTTTCGCGCGGCCATCGACCAAACTTTGTTTTTTGATTACAAAATAGTGTAATAAACCAAACTTACTATGACATGTATACCTCTAAACTCAGTCTGAACTGAGTTACGGGCATTAGAAGTTGGATGATTTTCATACTAGATTTAGCTTTTTGAGCGCAAGTTTTGTAAGAAATTGCAACAAAATATTGCGCTATTTTTTTATTGCGCTGATTCTGCTCCATACTGATGTCTGGAGCCTATAATGGATGGTATTGTTTGTTTACACATACAATGTCACTATTTTGTTGCAATTTCTTACAAAACTTGCGCGCAAAAAGCAAATTTAGTATGAAAATCATCAAACTTCTAATGCTCGTAACTCAGTTCAGACTGAGTTTAGAGGTATACATGTCATAGTAAGTTTGGTTTATTACACTATTTTGTAATCAAAAAACAAGGTTAGGTCGATGGCCGCGCGAAAAAAAAAAGACGCCAATTTCCGGCATTGTCTTTTCTCTGATCCATGTCCCTTCTCATAGTCAATCGGCTAGTTTAAATTCCTAAAAAATTTTTTTTAGTCCGTCATGTTAATATCAAAAAATATTGGACACATTTTTATTTGTCAATCTAACAAATAATTATATAGTACTGGTGCGTTGAAGTTCCGCACGACGTCACAACGTGCGGCACTTTTATGCACGCATTGACGTCACGGGCCTCTTCTTATGAACTTTGGCGCGCTTTATCTCTTTAAATTTTCATTAGTTTGAAAAAGTGAAAAATACGTGTAGAGTATTTTTTGATAAGTTAACTGACGGACTAATTAAAACTCTTGGTTTTTGACCCAGGAAACATATCTATTCTCCCCCTTCTGGGGCTTGACACCACAAATACGGTACTTCGCGTCGGGCTGCTATCGTTGATAAATGTCATTTTTTCTTCTAATTTCTTTCTTTTTTTGTATAGCGCTGCAAAAGGCACCCACTGAAAATCAGTGTCTTGGCAGTCACACTGTCTAGATATTACTGAGTGGGTGACCTTTTTTGGCAACTTAGTTATTATTTTTTTGTGTGTATGTCTATGTTGCCCGAATTTGTTGTTGCCAAAATAAAGTTATTTTCTTTCTTTCTTTCACTTCTTCTCATAATTTCGCTTGATTGTGTGCCAGGAGTGCGCGAACTCGCTAAGAATTTTATTTTATTTTATTTTTCTTTATTCAGAAAACAGAAAACAAAATGAGATATCATACCTCTCCAGCTGCCTTCAGTTCCTCCCTCGCCTTCGTGTGCTTGGTGTTCAACCGTTGCTGTTCCGAACGGTAGCGGCGCTGTTCGCTCTCCTTAAACTGTAACAATTTTGGAATATTATCTACTGTCACAGTTGAAAAGGATAGTGGAGATGGGCCAAAAATAACAAATTAAAAACGTAGCACATTTATCGACCAAGAAAGGGATCGTAACCGTATCAACTCGAGGCGGTCAGTATTCTATAAAGTACGCTTATCCGCACCGTAAAGTAAACGCCTCGGCTCGCGGTTGACAGCGCGTAAAAGTCATTGACAGCTCGCGATAGGCGATACGGTGTTTCCTCCGTGGGTTAAATAAAACTCGACTCGCGGAACATCGTGAGTTTGTTCCGGCGTTTCTTCTCAGCACTTGCCATATGTTTGTCTCGAAGCGCTGGTAGGGCCCAAATGATAAGGAGACATGTAAAGTGCCCCATAAGGGCTAACTTTTCTTTTTTATTATTTTCTATAATAATTTTGACGTTCATAAGTGCCACTTGTGGTCTAAACTGAATAAATACTTTTGATTTAGATTTTTTGATCATCTCTCTCGCTTTGTGTTCCGCCTGGACACTGAGTGAACTGACGACGGGAGCCAAGGGTCCTAACTTCTTGAGTCTCTCGCGGAACATCATCTCTATCGCCTTGTTCCGCCCGGACACTGAGTGACTTAATGCTAGGAGCCAATAAACCTACCTTCTTGAGCCTCTCGCGGTCGTCCTCCTGCGACGGCGGCGCGGCTGATATGCGCAGCGACTCGCGGAACATTATCTCTCTCACTTGTTCCGCCCGGACACTGACTGGCCTAATGCTGGGAGCCAAGAGTCCTACCTTCTTGAGCCTCTCGCGGTCGTCCTCCTGCGACGGCGGCGCGGCCGATATGCGTAGAGACTCGCGGAACATCATCTCTCTCGCTTTCTGTTCCGCCCGGACACTAGTGACCTAATGCTGGGAGCCAAGAGTCCTACCTTCTTGAGCCTCTCGCGGTCGTCCTCTTGCGACGGCGGCGCGGCCGATATGCGCAGCGACTCGCGGAACATCATCTCTCTCGCTTTCTGTTCCGCCCGGTCACTAGTGACCTAATGCTGGGAGCCAAGAGTCCTTCTTGAGTCTCTCGCGGAACACCATCTCTATCGCGGAACATAATCTCTATCGCCTTGTTCCGCCCGGACACTGAGTGACTTAATACTAGGAGCCAATAAACCTACCTTCTTGAGCCTCTCGCGGTCGTCTTCCTGCGACGGCGGCGCGGCCGAAATACGAAGCGACTCGCGGAACATCATCTCTCTCGCTTTCTGTTCCGCCCGGATCCGTTTCGGCAGCGATCGCTTTTCGAGCGCTTGGCACTTGGCTAACTCCTCTTCTTTGCGGGCGTTCTTCCTGCAATGATAAGAAAGGCTTTTGTTATGACTTGATGATGGTCTTATGAAATGGACGTGTCTTCTCGATCGAATCTTATTTCGATTAATTTCAGTCAACTTCGTAGTTTAACTAAGGCCCGGTTTTCATCAAGGCGAAGTGCAGAAAGATTTTGAACAATCAATCAAATGTCATTCAGATTTAATGAAATTGACAGAATGAAATCTGATTGGTTATTCAAAACATTTCTCCTCTCCGCCTGGCTGTTCACCAATGCGGAGAGGCATTGGTGAACAGCCAGGCGGAGAGAAGAGACGAGAGAGAAGTTACGAGCTATGTCTGCCCACGGACATAGAAATAGCCGAGCTGTGCGAGAAAGTATGCGTGTTTTTTGATACGCGAGGCTAACCTCGCGTATCACACTTCGCAATCAAAATTTGACTAATCAAAGTATGAACATTTTTCCATACGCGAGTCATTTGGTTCCCCGCTCAGCTTGCCAGTTTTGTGTGATTTCGTAAACTACACTGGTCATCATAAAAATCGACCCACCCGCGACAAGCACTTTCAAACGTATGCATCCCCACTTCCCACCAATATTACTATACTATATTACCATTTAAAAGCCTAGTTCTAAACTTCATTTCATTAAAGGAAAGGTTTTTACCCCAAAAATGTGTCTGTAGAAGAATCCAGAGTCACTTCTTCAAAAAATAGGTAGTTACGCTTGAGCCAACTTTTATTGCTATAAAACTGTTAAGTTGGGATTTATCGCTATCCATCTGTTAAAGAGGACTCGTGAGATCATTATTTGGGTTTATAACCATAAAAATTGGTCTATTGATCCCAGAGGTGAGCCCAAAGTGAGGTCTTTTTTCAAGTTTTTCAAGTCACATTTATTGTATATGTTAATCTTTTATTAGGAAATTAAACGTGTTTTTCTTTAAGGATATTTATTGGGCTTTCAAATAACACCAATATTGTTGGGGCACCATTGTGTCAGTAAAACGAGTTTTCCTGTAAAACGTAGGTGGGCCGATTTTTGTGATGACCAGTGTAGTTCGGAACTCTCTTTCTACTGAAGAATGTCAATTCTATTCGTACATTTTTAGCTCGCTTACGGCTACGAAACCTCACTCCACTCTCTTACACAGAGGCAAGACTTACGTCCGTCACCCAAATTCCTTAAGCTTTGAAGTCTTTCGAGTCTACAAAAACCAGTATAAACTGACCTCTTGATCTGATCCAGTTCTTTATCGTGCCGGACCAGCATCTGATGGCGTCGCAGCAGGAATTCTTCTTTAGCTGCCGCTTGGCCAACTGATGTCGCTATCAAACCAGTATAAACCAATCTAAACCAGTATAAACCAACCTCTTGATCTGATCCAGCTCCTTATCGTGCCGGACTAGCATCTGATGGCGTCTCAGCAGGAATTCGTCCTTTAGCTGCCGCTTGGCCAACTGGTGTCGCTATCAAACCAGTATAAACCAATCAAAACCAGTATAAACCAACCTCTTGATCTGATCCAGCTCCTTATCGTGCCGGACCAGCATCTGATGGCGTCGCAGCAGGAATTCGTCCTTTAGCTGCCGCTTGGCCAACTGGTGTCGCTATCAAACCAGTATAAACCAATCAAAACCAGTATAAACCAACCTCTTGATCTGATCCAGCTCCTTATCGTGCCGGACCAGCATCTGATGGCGTCGCAGCAGGAATTCGTCCTTTAGCTGCCGCTTGGCCAACTGATGTCGCTCGTGGATTTGCTTCTCTTCTAACTCCCATAGCGCTGCCTCGCGGGTACGCATTATCTGGGGAAATAGATATTTTATAACAATTTAAATATAAAATTAAAATTACACATGATACCACAGAATAATAATAAGTACTACGTACAGAAGTTTTACTTCGCGAAGTTATTTTAAAAAATGTATGCTCAATGTCATTAACAATATGGTGTAATTTAGCCTGTCTCAAGAGTCAAGCACCATTGTTGACAAACGTCAGTGATCGGCACTGCGCCGAAGCTATAGGGCTGACTTCGGTAAAATGATGTGACGTGAGGTGCCAAACTGCGGAAAATGACGGAGGAAATACATGATTTAGCATAAATTATCATGAACTACTTATTTACCTCTCAGTGTCTTGAGGCAACTTAAAAGTACATTCTGTGTTTTATTATTATTTAGGCAGTTAAATACTGCACAGTATTTAGTACACCATTTTCTTTATTTTCTTCCATCATACACAAGAATACGCGTGCGTGAGTCAATGTTCGCTCGTATGTGAGGCCTTGTCGAATAGTATCCTGTAGGTGGGCCATCGTGCGTGTTTTGTTTTCGATGTAAACTCGCGGAGATGAACAGGCCTGATGATACTGAAAAGGTGGACCACTCAGCATGGTATCGTAGCACGTAATGCCAAAACCCTTGTCTTCCATGAATGTACATGAATTTTTAAAAACGAGTATGTTAAGTAACGGGTCTCAAACGCGAAATTATGTCATCAAGTCTCCACTGCAGGAACACAATCATTTCTAATGTATTAGAGGCAAATGAAGGATTTGGCCTACACTCCCCACACTGACCAGACGGGTTGGGGAGGCCTGATGTTCTCTTCTCCTTTAGTCGCTTTGAGGTTAACTTTCTTAGTATCTTTAAAATAAATGAATCCGTTACCTAATACTTGTAAATGTAACCTGTTTTGAGTCAAATAAATACTTTCTATTCTGTTCTAATGGCGTGATATTTAGTCCTTTGTTGTAAAAATCTATCGCGTTGTTTGACAAATCGTAAAAAGTCTGTCTTTAATAAGATGTCCACTACACAAAAGAGAGGTGATCCTATTCGTGAAATGAAGGCTAATTTAAAATTAGGTTTTAGTTGGAATAGTATTTACTTTATTCAATTAGTAGAGTGTGTTATAATGTGTAACGAATTAAACTAGCGCCACCTAGTGTCATAGCCTCTGTAACCTATGTTTGAATATCTTCATCATCATCATCATTTCAGCCATAGGACGTCCACTGCTGAACATAGGCCTCCCCCAATGCTTTCCACGTTGATCGATTGGTAGCGGCCTGCGTCCAGCGCTTCCCTGCTACCTTTACGATGTCGTCGGTCCACCTTGTAGGTGGACGTCCCACGCTGCGTTTTCCGGTACGCGGCCTCCATTCCAGAACCTTGCTGCCCCATCGGCCGTCAGTTCTGCGTACTATGTGCCCTGCCCATTGCCACTTCAGCTTGCTAATCGGATGTTTGAATATGGAGAGAGATAAAATAAAACACAGTCTGTTATCCGCCATTGTGTAGTTTCAATATCTATTACAAATTGTATTACCTGATGTCTCTGCTGTAGGTACTGCCGGTCGGCCAGTGCTTGCCTCTCTCGGTGGTGCTCGTGTATGCGCCTGAGGACCGTGTCCTGTGAACAAAAGTATTGATAAATATACGTTTCTAAATATACACATTTATGTGCTGAAAGGTAACATTTATTATATTGACAATATAAAAAAGCTGACGTGTGACGACTAATAAAAATCACATCTTTCTTTTTTCAACATCTCAGGAACTATAGTCTTTTTCACGTAAGATGATCCGTATGACACTTCAAGATTATCCATATTACGCATACTACATATTATGCAGAATATTTTTGAAAAAATATTTGTATTTTATTAGCAATATAATAAAAAAAATAACTACTTGTCTTGAAATATATAGTAAAATCTGAGTCTATTGATTATATTTTAATTAAATACGATGTAAAAATATTTTTTATTTAATGTACGCAATGTGTGAAACGGAATAGATTTAGTGCTGGGGTATTACTTGTGTAATAAAATCGATTATTTCCGCGGTTCATTAATCGATTGCAGTGAATACTTAGTTATTAAAAACATCACAAAAATCAACTATATTTTTCGATTATTGAGTTTAATAAACGCATTGAAAATAAATTAATAGTTTTTAATTTAAAGAAACAGAACCAGTACTTTTTAGGAATCGTTTTTTTGAACACGAACCATGAAATTTGAATATTATCAATAAAAAATTGTTACAATAATATTTGTAATTAAAAAAAAAACATGTTTTTTTGTTAAATGACACCTATACAAAATATTTCTTTAAAAGTAGGTTTTACTAACTCTTCGAAAAAAATCGATAGATAAATCGCTATGGTTTAGTTATGTGACATCTCTAAATCTTTCAAACTCGAAACGTCATACGGATCATCTTAGGTGAAAAAGACTATACTGGTTCGAATAAAATATCATTATCGAGTAAAAAAATCAGTCCGAATAATAAAAAATATTTTTGTGTTGCATAACGATACTATTACCACCTCTAATTCCCTCCTGTGTAGCCAGGATCTACAGTTTGACCGCCAATAAAAACCCAACCAGTGAAGGTCAACTTTGTGTTGCATAGTCTATGTATGAACAAAGGTTTTAAACTATAGGTAGTATGGTTATATAATTCAGAAACAGTAGTTCTTGAGATTAGCGGGCGGTAACCAAGAAAACTTTTCACATTAGGCCCTCCAAGTAAGGGGTCTTTCGCACGTCAATATAGTTTTGCAGGATCCAGCTGACAAAAGTGACCGAGTTTCTTCCGCCACTTCCTCTCAGCACCAGCCCGTATGTTGTCCCGAAGTGGTGGTAGGGAAAGCTACATAATATGTATATTTGGGACGTGTATAAGCGCCTTGGAAAAGGCCTAAGTACTGAATAAGCTTTGACTTTGAGTTCTTGCAAAAAACGGGGTATATACAGGGTGGAAACGTTAAGTGATCTCACGCGATTATTTCTAAACTATACAAGATATCGAAAAACTGATTACTGATTCTGAAAGTGCTTCACAAGCTCTTTCAAACGGTACCAATAATAGGTTAAATATTAAACTGGATCTATCCGAAAATTCAATGTTTCCAGCTTCCATACATTTAGTACAGCCACAGTCATGGCACCCAAGTCTTGATAAATTATAGCAAGTAAAGCCTAAAACCAATGTTTTCCATGAATAATTTTAAATAGGAAAGCAATTTACGAGTTCATTTTAAGTGTTTATTATTTAATAAAAAAATAATACTTCTAATATTGTTTGGCTGGCATACATTTAGTATGGAGGCTGAAAACATTAAATTTTCGGATAGATCCAGTTAATTCTGTAACCTATTATTGGTACCGTTGAATAGAGCTCGTGAAGCACTTTCAAGATCAGTAACCAGTTTTCCGATATCTTGTATAGTTTAGAAATAATCGAATGAGATACAAATACAATACAAATACAAATAATTTATTGAATTTAAAACATACATTAACATTTACACTTGTATACCTTAACTAATACAGAAACAAAAAAACAAACTGTGAACATTTTTGTCAACACCGACAATATCACTCGTACGTGATCACTTAACGTTTCCACCCTGTATGTGGGGACAAGGTCTAATATCGTTTAAATCTATTTCTCACCTGTGCCTCAGCCAAGCTTGCGACGAACGCTCTCTCCCTCTCGGCATGCTCTTCGTCCAGGCGCGTGCGTCGCTGCTTGTACGTGTCCTTGCGACGGTCTTTTGACACCAGCTCCACTTCCTGGAAACATTTATTTATGTGAAATCTTTATTGCATACAAAAATTAAGGTACAAAAGCGAACTAATGCCGTGTCATTAAGTTAAACATGTTGCAAGTTAATCTACAGGGTGTTAGGTAAATGGGTATATGAGCCGACACTAGCCCATGTTAACATTGTCATATAAATGGTATGGTGAAGTCAGAAAATTGATATCTTCATTTTAATTATTTTATTTTTCATACAAATCGATTTTATCAAATTTATTTTGTATGAAATTTATTTTGCCCAGCGACTTTTTGCAAGCGGCAATCAAATAAATCAAAATAAAGTTACTGTATCACAATTCATTTGTAGATTTGTCACTGGAATGCAACCGGTCACTGGGATATACTTGGTCGCTGGGATGCAACTAGTCACTGGGATGTAACTGGTCACAGGGATGGTTTTTTTTTAGTTTTAAGCTGGTACCTTTGACGTGGTGATCAGAGCCTTTTTTATGACATTATACCTGCTTGAGCAGCTTCAGCTCCTGCTTGAGCGTGTCGCGGAAGTGCCTCAGATCGCGCTCGTGCTCCGCTCGCAGCCGCTTGCCGGCGTGCCGGAGCTACTACTAGCTAGTGTAACAAACAAGTCACTAGGATGCAACTTGTCACTGGGATGCACCTGGTCGCTGGGATGTACTTGGTTGCTGGGATGTAACTAGTCACCAGGATGCAACTAGTCACTGGCATACAACTGGTCACTAGGATGCAACTTGTCACTAGGATGCAACTAGTCGCTGGGATGCAAATGTACCTGCTTGAGCAGCTTCAGCTCCTGCTTGAGCGTGTCGCGGAAGTGCCTCAGATCGCGCTCGTGCTCCGCCCTCAGCCGCTTGCCGGCGTGCCGCAGCTCCATCTCCAGCTGTTGTTCAGCGCGTTCAGCGGCTTAACGTGTCTAGGTCTGCTTCTTCGTGCGCGCGCGCTAAGGAGGCTAAAGCCTAGTCCGTGAGCACGTAGAATTTTGTCCAATGACCCCAAGCTACCCATCCTTATCGCTCGCGCGTAATTGTATTGCTGTCGCGACTGTGCGACGGGCGCCCGCAGTGAGTGTGCGAGCGCGACAGCAACATAATTACGCGCGAGCAATAAGGATGGGTAGCTTGGGGTCATTGGACAAAATTCTACGTACTCACAGACCAGGCTTTAGCTCGGCTTCGAACCTGGAGAAATCAAAGATGCACCTGGTCGCTGGGATGTGACTATACCTGCTTGAGCAGCTTCAGTTCCTGCTTGAGCGTGTCGCGGAAGTGCCTCAGATCGCGCTCGTGCTCCGCTCTCAGCCGCTTGCCGGCGTGCCGCAGCTCCATCTCAAGCTGTTGTTCAGCGCGTTCAGCGGCTGCGCGTTGCGCGCGCGCTAACGTGTCTAAGTCCGCTTCGTGTGCGCGCGCGAGTGAGGCTAGCTCGGCTTCGAACCTGGGAAAAGAAAGAATAGTTTTAAATAACTTGAAAAAATCGAACCTGCGACGTTTCGGTCGACTGTTCTTCCATCTGAGCTACTTAGACACTGGTTGAACCCATCGACATTTTAATACGCTGTTAGCCTAGGCGCAGACCATCGATTTCTCGCCGGCCGATAGTTTAGTCGGGTAGTTGATCAGTATGGGCATGTATGGAAGTGCGATTGTTGTCTGGTCACTGGGATGCCACTATTTGATGCGTTTAGTCACAAGAATGCAACCATTCTCTGTATAGTGACTGGGATGCGACCTGACAAGTCTAGTCGCTAGGATGCAAGCCGTCGATATGTCGAGTCACTAGGATGCAATAAGTCTACATGTCTATTCGCTGGGGTGGCCAATCGGTGTCATGTCACTAGGATGCAACTAGTCGGTAAGTATTGTCACTGGGATGCAATTAGTCTTTATTCCTAGTCACCAAGATGTTACTAGCGGGTGTGTCATGTAACTAGGATGTAACTAGTCGGCAAGTCTTGTCACTGAGATGCAACAAGTCTATATTCGTAGTCACTGGTATGGAATAAGTCTTCATACCTAGTCACTGGGATGAAAAGTCTTGTAACTAGGATGCAAATAGCCTACAGTCTAGTCACCAGGATGGGATCAGTCAGTATGTCTAGTCACTAAAATCCAACTGCGACAGTAGTAAAGTACCTTCATCTGTTCCTATATAAGTGTAGCATATCTTTAGTCACCCACCTCTTGTCCTGCTGTTCCCTCAGCTGCAACTCCTTAGCATTGAGGTCCTGGAACTGCTTCTGTTCTTGCTTCTGCAGCATCTTGATCTCTCGTAGCTCCTGCTTCCGCAGCGCGTGGTCGTCCCATGTGCGACCGCTCTCTTCGTCGCCCCAGATCACCTGGAAGTTTGGAAGTTAATACAATGAACGAATGTAGACGTGTTTTATATGAATAAAAGAGTATTCACTGTAATTTATGTTTATTTCTAAGCACACGTATTACATGCCGACATTGGTCAAGAGGAAGAGGAAGTCCTGAATCCACAGACAATATAAACTTATGTCAAATGCCAAAGATATTATAAAGCATGTATCGAGTATACAACATCCCGCGCTTTAACATAATAATTAAAGTTAGAGCTATGTTCGGTTCGCGAGCGAATGTATATGATCATTAGTTAGTGAGCTGACACACAGGCGGATTGCAAGCGTTTTGAAAGCGACGTCCTCGCCGCAGACACGCGGCCTGTTCGCTGCGTCGCCGCTCCGCTTTAAAAACGCTTGTAATCCGCCAGTGTGACAAGGCCCTTAGGGTCGTTGACACCATCAACCAAATGACACAAATGACATACTTTTTAGACGCTGTCAAAACGCAACTCACCACCAAACCAACCAAATGACATACTTTTTTGGCGCTGTCAGAACGACATTCGCTTGCATACAAAATCTATGGGTTACTTTTTGACAGTTCAGTTAATAATGATTGGTAATATCGAAAACTTTATTTTAATTCTATGTCTCGCCAAGCGTAGCGGTAGAGCACCCCCTATGTATTGACGATTACTAAAATATATCTTGCAGTGGCTGAATCATCAACGTCATCATCTCAGTCACAGGACGTCCACTGCTGAACATAGGCCTCCCCCAATGATTTCCATAATGACCAGCTGTTAGCGGCATTCAGCGACCTCCTACAACTTTCATGAGGTCATCTGTCCACCTTGTGGATGGACGTCTCAGGCTGTGCCGGTATGTCACGGATAGTATTTCATTATACATATTTTTCAGCAGTAACCGTACCTTGGAAGTGGTGGTGGTGACGATGACGCCATCAATCTCGAACTTTCTCGTCCGTTTGCGCGTTTTCTTCTTGAGGTTGGCCATGTGGATGTCTTCCTTTGACCTGTAGACAGACAAATATAATCTTTCGTAATTTATGGAATTTAAAATCGTTTGTCTTGAAGACAAACCCACAATTTTAAACTACGTTTTTAAGCTACTGTAGCCAAGAAATGACTTGTCGAAAAGTATCACTACGCCATATAATTATGTAAAGCCCAATCTGTGAGCACGTAGAATTTTGTCCAATGACCCCTAGCTAGCCATCCTTATCGCTCGCGCGTAATTATATTGCTGTCGCGACTGTGCGACGGGCGCCCGCAGTGAGTGTGCGAGCGCGACAGCAACATAATTACGGGCGAGCGATAAGGATGGGTAGCTTGGGGTCATTGGACAAAATTCTACGTGCTCACGGACCAGACTATAGGTGGTTTACCGGTTGTTGTCTCTGCCTTAACCTTTTAACTGGTATTGAGATTTTTTCCAACCCGTTAATACCGCGTGGTAAGCTAAATATGCACAATGGTCAAGCGGCGGCAGGGATCGAACCCGCGTTCCTCGGATCACGAGTCGGCCAGTCCGACACCTTCACCGTTCGGCTATGACATGTCAGAGGGGCGCTACTATCAATACTGAAATATTAGTTCCGATTTTGCCACGTTGGACTACCATATAATTATGACATTTAGCCTAGGCGCAGACCACCGATTTTAGTTGGCCGATAAGTTGGGCCTGATTTTAATTTGTATGAAGAATCAACCAAATCGGTGTAATTTTGTCTTTCATACATGCCCCTACTGATTAACAGCCCGACTAAACTATCGGCCGACAAAAAATCGGTGGTCTGCGCCTAGGTTTACAGGAGGGCGCGATTTTGGGTTGACTGGGTTATTAGTTCCGATTTTAGCCACTCGACGTTTCAGAATCGTTTGACTATACCTCTGTATCCTGTTGACCGGCTGTCCTTCCTGCGTCTTCCGCCTCAGCACCACAGCTTCGCCGTTCTCGTGGATGTCCGTGCTGACTCTGCGAATAAGCACTCTATAAGCTGCTAGCTAAGACTACTTTTGCAGTGGCGCTTGATGATTGTGAGTGTTATTTAATTTTTAGCGTTAAGAGTCGCATCTCAAGTTTTTTTCAAGTTATTTATAATTTTCAAGATTGTGAGTGTGGTATGAATTAGTGTGTGTTAGAATGTTGATGCAATTTTCTGCCAAAAGAGTGCAGTAAAAGTGTAAACTTTTCTTTCAAAAGACTTTCAAAGCGTGATTACATTATTTGCAAAAATATATCGGTAATTTGAGTTTAGCATGAGTTAAGACCAATTTTAATAGTAAAAAAAAACAATATTTTTTACCACGACGAGAAAACTCTTGGCCTTTATCTCACTTGATGGCAAGTTATTTATAGGTTGGGTAAAGATGTTTTTTTATGCATTTTGCAGTCTAATGGGAACAAGGCTTAAGAGTAGTTAAGCAGTAGCTTAAGAGTAGTTAAGCAGTAGTCACTCTTTAAAGATACCTACACAGTAAGTGTAACCTGTATCCATTTGAGTGCTGATTTTGTCGAATAAATATTATTATTATTGTTCGGGATTTGTTTTAGCTCAATGTCGATGGCGTATCAGCACCTAAAGTCCTGTCACCGAGCAGATAGAAGTTCGTCCAATGACCCCAAGCTACCCATCCTTATCACTCGCGCGTAATTATATTGCTGTCGCGCTCGCACACTCACTACGGCCGCCCATCGCACAGTTGCGACTGCAATATAACGCGTGAGTGATAGCGGGGTAGCTTGGGGTCATTGGACGAAATTTTAACTGCTCGGCGACCGGACTTTAGATGCAATCCCTCTTAAGTGTTTCTTGAGGTATGTCTCACTAACCTGGTGCCTCCATTGAGCTCCCTGTCGCGGTCGTCGTGATCGTTGGCGGCCAGCGAGTCGGCGTCGTGGCGGCGCGACGACGACGACGCGACCGAACCGCTGTCGGACTGCGATCTTTTGAAGAAAGCCACGTCATATAACGGGTGCAAACATACATGAAATACCCTTCCAGCGCAGTCGGGTAAAAATTCTATCACGAAACTTATACAGAACTGCAGACTATAACTATACAAAAAAAAAAGAAAATTGTAATGTATAACTTTTTTCTGTAGGATTTTTTGCATCTTTTTGTCCGCGTGACATGAGTACAGTAACATCTTTCTCTTTGATACGTTTATAAAGAGAAAAAGAGTGATGAAATAATAAATCTTTACATTGAAATAAACTTAGTTTTATTTTATGAAATCAAATCAAATTTCTTTATTTGCGTAATTCCAGGTACATAAGTACAAACAAATAAACAATAGAAACGCGCACACCGTGACCATAGACCGGAGAGAGTAGAGATGTGCATAGACAACACAAAACGAGTTGCGTTCACACTTCATCAGAGACATTACTGTCACAGGGAAAAAAGTCACCAGTGAGCGCGGTTTTCAAGGAAAGGTCCCGAAGAAAAATATGTTTATTAACACGTAGGAAAAACGCAATATTTGATTTACGCCGCATCCCTGGTAGACCTTTAGCTTAATTTTTTTTGTTGTGTTTATTACTGTATCTCATGTTGATAGCCCAAAAAATAAATAAAAGCAGTCTTATTACGGAGTATGTGCGATTTTACAGTGTGTCATATGTCACCATTATGTGACTTATCATTTAGAACCCACCTCTCAAAGCTGTCTGGACTGAGCCGCGTGGCGATCGGCGGCGGCGCGGCCGGCTCGCCTACAGTCACAACGGAAACGTGCGATGTGTCCTGCAGACAGACAAAAAAATCGAACTCTATTAATGTGTGGTGTCTTACCTCAAAGACTAGTTAGTAGCGGCCGAAAGTTTAGTCAGGCTGTTAATCAGTATGAACACGTATAAAAATGCGCACATTACACCGATTTAGTATCGGCAGATTCCTCATACAAATGAACAGCCGACTAAAGACTAAACTATCGGGCGACAGATTCTATGTAGTTAGCGAGGTGTCTAATTGTTAAAAATCTCAACGTTAAAATATCGGTAATCTATCTTTAGCCAATGAGAATCTATCAAAAGTAATGTCAATATCATTCTACAAACGTCAGATTAGGGTGACGCGCGCTTTTAGGATGAGATAGCGCAGCGCAGACAGCGTATACAGATACAAATCTTTGCGGACTATTCTCACCTCTCGTTCCCACCAATGTAACTCCTGTGTAGCCAGGATCTAGCTTGACAGCCAATAAAAAAAAACCAACCAGTGAAGGTAAAGTTTGTCCCGGGGGAAAGTTACGCCCGTTTTCACCATCAATCTCTAATTTTTAAGTGACCCCTATGACAACAAAATTCCTGTTATTTGTTACTATAGGGGTCACTTAAAAATTAGGGATTGATGGTGAAAACGGGCATTAAACTGTCATTGGATCCGCAGCGAAATTAAACAGAAGAACATAGGAGTTTGCTTGTGTTAATGGCCTCAACTCTCGTTGAGCGACCTATAACATAGATAGAATGATCTATGTTCTAAAGATGCAAGTATACTCACCAAGTTGAGCTGATTGTGCTGACTGTCGTCGAAGACCCCGGAGTCTCCAGCCGCTCCTGGGCTCAGGATTAGGACTTCGCTGCTGTCCAGGCGGCGGCCGCGGGTCTTCTCTGTTGAGGAGAAACAAGTTTGTTATTTAGTACTCAATATTTTATTGCATCTATTATGTACTTAAAATTAGAACATTATGGGCCCTGTAGGGCACGGCATAGGAGAAAGGAGGACCACCCTAGATCAACCGAAAAATGTATTAGAAGTTAGAGCCTAAAAATTTATCATTTAGATACTCACTTAAAGCATAATAGTGTTTGGAAATTAAAATTTCTTTAAGTTTTTTTACGAATGTTGGTTCTTTGGGTGTATTTTTTATCGAAACTGGAAGCTTATTGAAATTGATACTATATTTATTTGAGAAGTATCGCGAGGAGACATTGTTTAACTGCTGCAATAATCCTAACAAAGCGTTAGAACGTTGCAAAAAGGAACAAGATTCTAGCACACTAACGCGCTGTCAAACAACGGGACTTGTTGGGACGGGAACGTGTAGCCAGGATCTACAGCTTGAATGCCAATAACCCAACCAGTGAAGGTCAAGTTTGTCCCGGGGGAAAGTTAAACTGTAATTGGACCCGCAACGAAATTAATCAGAAGAACGTAGGAGTTCGAAGTTAAAGTTCAACTTCCCTCCGTTGCGGAGCTCCGCTGTCAAACAGGACATTTTATTGATTTTACGCGATAAGCCCATACGTTTCTCGTCGGTGCGTATTCTAGCCTGGCAGAACCGGTGATGATGATAATGACTCGGCCACGAATGATATCCAGTAAGTCCAGGAACGAAGGTGCGAAGCGAATCATTGGTGCTGGTGATGATGAGACAGCAGCAGACAGTGTATTGTTTTAAACTTTCATGGTCACTATCATAATTATTATTACTGACGGGATTTTGAGTTTCCGATATTTCGGCACTGTTGCAAGCGCCATGGTCACCGAGTAACAGAGGAAACTTGCAGGTGAGATTAAGGTACATGGACCATGGTAGCAATTCCGTCAGTAATAATAATTATGAGCAGCAGACAGTGAATTCCAGTCTCTAGCTGATGATGATGACTCACCGGAGTAATCATGACTGGTGTCCAGCGAGTCCAGTGAGGAAGGCGCGAAGCAGTCGTCGTCTGAGCTTGAAGCGGCTACTATGACATTCGTCTGCGATGGGCGGCGTAGTTGATATCGTGACGTATCAGATGACTTGCGAGTCCACAAGCGCCATTTGCCACGCACGAACACTTGCGCATAAAGACACTAGCGCAAACAGTATAGTGCGTAAGTGTCTTTTCGCGCAAACATTCATTGGCGCTAATGTCTAATGCAAGTGTCCGTGCGCGAAAATGGTTTTTCGCGTTGAAGATTCGCTCAAGAATCTTTCGCACTTGTAGATTCGCACAATTATTGTCTTTCGCGCAAGTGTACCAGGACCGGTGATGATGATGATAACTCAGACATGACTTGTGCGGTTTGCCTTTAGCACAAGTGTCTTTACGCATGTCTTTTACGCAAGTTTCTTTTGCGCAAGGGTGTTTCGCGCAAGTGTCCGTGCAAATGGCCTTACGCGCTTGTAAATTCGCTCAAATATACCAGTTATGATGATGATGATGACTCACCGGAGTAGTCGTGACTGGTGTCCAACGAGTCCAGTGAGGAAGGCGCGAAGCAATCATCGTCTGAACTTGAAGCGGCTACTATGACCACTTCGTCAGCGATAGGCGGCGTCGTTGATATCGTGACGTATCAGGTCACTTGCGCGAGTCCACAAGATCGAAAAGCCATTTGCGCGAAAAGACAGCGCTAAAAATACACTGAGCGGATTCGTCAAATCTAAATGTAGTTCGTGCTTATGTTTTTCGCACAAGTGTCTTTGGCGCAAGTGTCTTTGGCGCAAGTGCTTTTAGCGCAAGTGTCTTTGGCGCAGTTTCTCTGGCGCAAGTGTCTTTAGCGCAAGTGCCTTTGGCGCAAGTTCCTCTGGCGCAAGTGTCTTTAGCGCAAGTGCCTTTGGCGCAAGTGTCTTTAGCGCAAGTGCCCTTGGAAGTGTCTTTTGCGCAAGGGTTATTGCGCGCAAATGGTTTTCCGCGCTTATAGATTCGCTCAAGTATACCAGAACAGTTGATGACTTACCGGAGTAGTCGTGACTGGTAATCCAACTAGGAACGACGGTGCGAAGTAGTTTCATCGGAGCTGGTGATGATGAGACAGCAACAGACAGTGAATTCCAGTCTCTAGCTGATAATGATGACTTACCGGAGTAATCATGACTGGTGTCCAACGAATCCAGTGAGGAAGGCGCGAAGCAATCATCGTCTGAACTTGAGGCAGCACCCACTATGACCACTTCGTCAGCGATGGGCGGCGTCGTTGATATCGTGACGGCGTTGGGCGGCAACTGTAAAATAATGTACAGTCAGAAAATAATGATTTGGTAACAAAGAATCATTGGACCTGCAACGAAACGAAGGCTATCGTATTTGCCCTCACCAGTTGGCGCCACTATAGAGCAAGGTGCTGTCGTCAGTGTGTCCAACTAAATACTTTTAACAGACAGCCTGGTGGATTATCTTCTGCTAATGAAGGCACGCTGTCTTCATCAGAAAGACAATCCCAAGATATGCTGACTAGTGACACTAGTGTCTAAAACAGTGGCGCCAATTGGTGAGCGCTGAAGCGTTAAGACTTCCATTGCACTCACCATGATGGCACCACTGTAGCGTAAGGTTCTGTCACTCGCTAAGACAACCAACTGGCGAGCGATGAAACGGCAGGAGGACTATCGCATTTGCTCTCACTAGGATGGTGCCAAGTAAATACATAACAGAGGTCTGGGTGGATTGTCTTTAAAGTCCGGTCGCCGAGCACGTACAATTTCGTCCAATGACCGTAATTATACTGCTGTCGCGACTGTTCGACGGACGGCTGCAGTGAGTATGCGAGCGTGACAGCAATATAATTACGCGCGAGCGATAAGGATGGGTAGCTTGGGGTCATTGGACGAAATTCTAACGTGCTCGGCGACCGGACTTTACTACTGACCATGCCTGTAAAGTAACTAACCTGTGCAGCGGTGGTGAGCACCGGCGGATGCGTGGTGGTGACGGTGACGAGCCCGGCGGGCGCGGCGGCGAGCGAGTTGGGCTCCACCACCACCAGCGCCGGCACCACCACCACGTTGGTGGCTGCCACCGCTACGGCTACGGTCGGCTCGGGCGGCTTGGGCTGCGGCGGCTGGAGATATGAGAGAATATTTATTTATTTAAGTACTAGCTGACCCGGCGAACTTTGTTCCGCCTTAATGGCAATAAATAAGCAGACTTTTTTTTATTTCGAACGGGATAAAAAGTATCCTATGTCCTTCTCCTGGCTCTAAACTACCTCCCTGACAATTTTCAGCTAAATCGGTTCAGCAGTTTAAACTGCCTGTACTGAAAAAAAAATGTACTACGCGAGTGTGGCAAGTGACGTCATAATTTAGTAAGGATTCAAAAATGGTATAACACTTGGTAAATTTTTGCTGTAATTGTCTACAATTTTTGGTTTTTTGGAAATAATTACCCGTGCGCGCGCGCCTTTACTACCTGCTCTGCCTGCACTTGTACTTGGTAACAGGGATAATAAGGATATGAAGTTTCGGTTATGGATACGGTTACGGATATTAGAATAATATTATACCGGTTTCGGTTACGGTCACGGATATGAAATCATTTCAGATTATCCGAAAGTCTCGGATAATTTCGGTTACGGAATTATTAGAATTTCAAAAATGTAGGTATAATACAAATAGCAAGATGTTGCGTGAGCGTGACCCACATAGCTACTTTATGTACCAACTAAGACGACACCTATGTATGATAAAGGTAAAACAGGCTGGCATATTAGATGGTGCCAGCGAATGCCAGACAAGTTGGTAACAAATATTAAGATTTAAGGTACAATTCCAAGACGGGCCGCAGACCGCAAACTGCAACCGCAAACTGCAAAACTATGAAATCGGCAGCGCGGCATTGCAGCTGCGGCGTGTATACTGCAGATTTCATAGAGTTTTGCAGTTTGGCGTTTATCCGAAACTATCCGTAACTTTTGAATCAGTTTCGGTTACGGTTATGGTCATTTTTTTATTTCGGATATCCGATAGTTTCGGTTACGGTTACGGATATCCATAACATCCCTGCTTGGTAAGATGGCCCTCTCCGTCCCCCTCATACCTTTTAAAATGGCTTCTCCACCTCACTTAAGCCAGAAACTTGAATTTTGGGCACATTAGAATAATATTTTTAACCAAGGTAGATAAAGTTAAAAACGGGATTATTTCCAATAAACAAAAATCGTCGACAATTACAGCAAGATTTTACAAAGTGTTATACCATTTTGGAATCCTTACTAAATGCGCCAAATTATGACCTCACTTGCCACACTCGCGTAATACATTTTTTTTTCAGTACACGCAGTTTAAACTAGGCAAAATTTTTATTTTGAAATTTTTTTTGGAAATAATGTATTTTTTTCATCCAAGCTGGAGCAGCTGGTTTTGTAATTTTGATAACAATTTAGATAAGCATTATTCAGGGTTACATAACAAAAAAAAAATTTGGAAAAAGTGAAGATTTGTGGCAACACGAGCGAAAGGACCGTCACCTGGAGTAGAATTTTTTGATTTTTTTTAAATGCCTATTATTTTTAAAATATGACACATAGATTTTTTTTTATATTTTTCTGATAACCAGCACACCTTGCCTCAACACCCAGTTCCGGCTTGACGTTACATTACGGGACACCCTGTATATAGATGTTTATATCCGTTGTCTAGTACTCATAGTACAAGCTTTGCTTAGTTTGGGACTAGAAGCGCAGTGTAAAAAATGTCCAAGGATATTTATTTATTTAGATCACCAAGGTTACACTACCGTCTGTTGATTTTTCAATCGTCGGATAACTTTTATCTGAAGAACAAGTTTGGCATTGGCACATTGACAGTTTCGGTATGGGAAATATGTCAAAATGACAAGTTTATTCTTCAGTTAAAAGATGTCTTGACGATCGAAAAATCAGCCCTAATAAAAAATCATCTATAATTCAAGCAAATACTACGGACCGGATAAAAGTTGTCAATATTATTATTTGTACAATAATAAATAAATAAAATAACTCAAACTATTTCTGACAACAATTTCACGCGGGTAAAACTGCGGGGAAAGTTAATGGAAAGATAAATTCTTATTGCCACATGAGGGAAACAAAATCGTATGTAGACGAATGTTCAGGGAAGTAATCGCTCATACACTAAGCCAGATAATATGGAAACGGCATAAAAATACTTATAAATAACTATACAACTCACCGTTACAGGCCTAATCTCAACCGAACTCATCGGCGATCTTCTCTTCTCCCATTTGTGTATCCTATCCTCCACTTCACTTCTATCCACTTCTATACTGATCCTCTCTTTCGCTTCCACAGAGCTGGACCTCGAATTCTTTTCTATTCTATTGACTGCAGCATTAACTTTCACAGTTTCCACTTGATCAGTCGAAATGGAACGGTTTTCTAATCGGCCTATTATTTCTACATTCGTCCTATCTAATTCCAGGGAGCTTCTGGAGTTTCTTTCTATCCTATTCACTTCTGACAACACCCTGTCTTCAGTAGAACTCGATCTGGAGAACTTTCCTTTGTCGTTTGTGTCTGTAATGGTTACTTCTGTCTTCTTTTCGATCCTAATTTCTTCTTTGCTCTCTTCTTTTCTGTTTTCTTGCCTGCTCTCTTCTCTTCTATTCTCTTTCCTGCTCTCTTCTGTTCTTCTGTCGTCTTTCTCAGTCCTGTGGGGTTCCGTTTTGTCTACTTCTGTTTGTTTCTCGGGCGCGACTGGTTCAGGCGTTATTCTAATTTCTTGCTTTGGTCTCTCTTTCTCTTTTTCTACTTCTGTTTCTTTTTTGTCTGTCTTTTTGTCTTCCACGGCTTTCTCTGCTTCTCGACACACCTGGAAATATACAGATTATTGACATCAACCTTTTTATCATAAATGTGACGCGCTGTGACAAGGGGAGGGAGTCAAAAAGTCATGGAATTCGTGTCACATTGAGGCCTTATTTTATATGTGACTTACCTGGATGACAATCTGTTTGTCCTGCATAAGCGGTTAGCTACCACCATCTTACCCAAGTCCGTCACCATAACAAAAATGTTAGTAGCATTGTGTTCCGGCAGTTGGAGGTAAGATAGCCAGTTCTGTGGTTGAAGATTCCGGCTGAAGCTCTTCCACTTTCGGTCTAACCATCAAGGTGAGATGCAGGTCAAGAACTTCCTTCATCATCATCATTTCAGCCATAGGACACAGGCCTCCCCCAATGATTTCCATGTTAAGATAAGATAAGAAGATAAGAAGCGTTTATTTGCCAGAATACAGGTTATAAGGTTCTTACAAAAATTTTTTAGTACAAGTATTCAACCTGCATTCAGGTGTGCAAATACATTTTGTCAAGTACTCATAGTACAAGGTAGGTAATAAAGTCAGTAGGATCACTCTTTATCAACATTACATTCAATTATATCATTACATTGTGGACGTCATTTGGCTGAAACGAACGATATCATTACATTACTTTAGTCAATTTATTATTTACCTACATTTACATTGTCATATTTTTATAATCCATAAATTCATTCACGCTGTAAAAACAGGCTGTTGACAGGTTGGTAGCGGCCTGCATCCAGCACCTTCCTGCTACCTTTATGAGGTCGTTCCACCTGATCACCTAGTGAGTGGACGTCCTTCGTTGCGCTTTCCAGTACATGGCCTCCACTCCAGAACCTTGCTGCCCCATCGGCCGTCAGTTCTGCGTACTATGTGCCCTGCCCATTGCCACTTCAGCTTGTCAGCGACTTTAGTTCGTTTACGGATCTCCTCATTACTTCGTGTTTCACTGACCTTGCTCTGCACAAGCGCTGGCTTCAAGAGCACCGCTCTTGGATGGTGGTGGATGGTGGGTCTAAGATACCACGTCACTTAGCTTGATGTGCCTTCATCTTTGATACTCCACGGTTGGGGATCGCTGTAGAAATAACTGGGGGAGGCCTATGTTCAGCAGTGGACGTCCTGTGGCTGAAATGATGATGAAGGAAGCTCTTGGCCTGCATCTCACTTTAATGGAAAGTGGAAGAGCTTCAGCCGGAATCCTCAACCACAGAGGAACTGGCTATCTTACCGCCAACTGCCGGAACGCAATGCTGCTAACATCATTGTTGTTATGGCGACCGTCTTGGCCGGCTTTGGATGTCCTATGGCTGAAATGTCACTAACCTGGTCGACAATCTGTTTGCCCTGCACAAGCGCTGGTTGCGCGGGCTGTGGAGGCGGGGGCGCCGGCTGCTTCTTGGGGGCGGCTGCGACAGGGGGGGCGGCTGCGACGGGGGCAGGTGGGGCAGCGGGGGCAGGAGGGACGGGGGCAGGCGGGCGGGCGGCGGGCGAGGCGGGCGGCGTCGCCGACGGCGGCGGCGGGGCGGGGCCCTTCTCTTTTTTTGGTGCCTGGAAACAAAATGTAACGTTATTAAGGCACGTTGGTATTTTTAATCGACCTGCAATACCTCTTCCTTTTTTCGGATGGCCGGTTACAGACGTGTGCGTACTGTGTAGCGCGTAATTACAGAACGTCAATACTCTCCTCTCTCGGTGATGGTACGATAATAATATAATTATTTTTGACATGTCAAAACATGGTAATGTGCGACATAGGTAACGTTATTTGAAGCCGAAAGTAGCCGATTGTCTTTTTCCAAAGGAGATGTACTAACAATAGATATGTTACAGTCAAAAAATTATTTTTATTTTTTATGTGAATTTTAATTAATTTGAATTTATTATTATAATTTTTTTTTGCCCCTGCAAAATGTCAACTGTCAAGATGATATTAAGTGGGTGCCCTCTTTGGCAACATTTTTTTTTCCTCTTTTCTCTCCATTGTTTATGTACTTTTATTAGTTGTCAAATAAATATTTTTTCTTTCTTTCAAAACTCATAATCGGTCAGAACTCATATTGACCGAGGGTATCAGTTAAGGCTAGGATTTACCGCCTCGATGCCGTGCATTTGTTTACCTCAGCCCCCGCACACCTCGCACTGACACTCGCGCTGACACTCGCGCGACGCGTTGACGCCACAGTGTAAAAACAAGCCGTAAGTTGGATGACGGTTTACGTAATCTTNGCGAAGGTATTTAAAAAAATGTATGCTCAATGTCATTAACAATATGGTGTAATTTAGCCTGTCTCAAGAGTCAAGCACCATTTTGTTGACAAACGTCAGTGATCGGCACTGCGCCGAAGCTATAGGGCTGACTTCGGTAAAATGATGTGACGTGAGGTGCCAAACTGCGGAAAATGGCGGAGGAAATACATGATTTATGAATAATATTAACTACTTATTTACCTCTCAGTGTCTTGAGGCAACTTAAAAAAGTACATTCTGTGTTTTTATTATTATTTAGGCAGTTAAATACTGCACAATATTTAGTACACCATTTTCTTTATTTTCTTCCATCATACACAAGAATACGCGTGCGTGAATGAATGTTCGCTCGTATGTGAGGCCTTGTCGAATAGTATCCTGTAGGTGGGCCATCGTGCGTGTTTTGTTTTCGATGTAAACTCGCGGAGATGAACAGGCCTGGTTATACCTACAGTATAGACAATGTCAGCGAGACATTAGATTTGTATGCTCTGTCAATGTCAACCCTCCCCTGCCACTCTCATACCTCAGGTACTGATTCAGTTAAGTGCTATACCTATATATCATTAGGGTTCATGGTAGTGCTTCTAAATTGATCCAAGAACACCCATCGCAGGCAAATAACCCAGGCAAATGGCTAATGTTAAAAATTAAGTTAAAAGCTACAATTCCCAATATTGAAAGTCCTAAACAAACTCATTTTATGTAGGAACGAAATTTCCCGATCCTACGTCTCACTTACTCAGCCAATATGACGAAAAAAACTAGAGACATAATTATTTTTATGTATGAACAACTTTAGCCTAACGTACCTTGCTGATTTTGAAGTGTACCTATTTTCACAATCATTTGTACTATTTACATTTTTAATCTCCCCTGTTTCAAGACTGTGTAAGTCATATAATAATCTCAGCGCTGATGTTAATTTGTTTGGCACAAATATTTCTAAATTCCGTCGTCAGATTAACCAAATAACCTAACTTAATTAATTAGCTAACTATTGTCAATCTTGGCACTCACTAGCCGCCTTGTGGTTGCTCGTTGCTTTGCAATTCAGTTTTTAGACTAAGTACTTACTTTCTTTGAAAGGTTTGGTNTGGTTTTATTTTGGAAAATGTACTATGTATCATGATTGAAAATTCTTAGCTTTCTCCAGTAATACTGATATTATTATACTGTGACTCGCCACCCGCCAGACAGAGGCGATTTTGTCAAAAATATTGACAAGTCGCGAACTGTCACAGGAATAAAACTGACACGCGTCCGTCCTCCGTAAGCGCCACCGCGCGACTGATTAAGATTGTCCAAGCCGTCATGGCCGATTTTTTCACATTTTTTCATCATAGTAACTAAATAAGACGCAATAACAAAAGTTTGAAAAGTTGTCGACCTAGAAAATACAAAGTCCTATCTATTAGTATATATTTTAAGTGTAAAATGTTAAAAATGAATATATGAGAGTAAAACAAAAAAGCCGTCGACGTACTTCTTTGGGATTTTTTTTTATCGGACAAACTATGCAATATCGTGTTTTGGAAAAGTTGTCGCCCTAGTTAAAGACATTAACTTACTCGTACAATTTTTTGTTTGTTAAAACATCTTTTCATTTAGAAGCTATCTGCAAACAAAATCGGTCAAATATCGACAATTTGGGAAATCATGGCCTTAAAACCACTTTTGACTGTTATTTGCAGTCAAAAGTGGTTTTGACCGATTATGAGTTTTGACTGTAGTCTGTAACAGATACATAGATGTTTTGGGAGTTGTAGGCAAGTGGACGATGTACTCACGGGCGCTTTCCTGTCAGCGGGCTGCGACTCGTCGTCGCGCGGACGCTTGGCGGGCGCGGCCGGCGCGGGCGGCGACGGCGGCGCTTCCGGCACTGAATACACACAAAACACCGGTAAAGTACACTTATAAACAGGGATGTTTCCTGGGTAAAAAAGCAAGAGTTTTAATTAGTCCGTCAGTTAGCTTATCAAAAAATACTCGACACGTATTTTTCACTTTTTAAAACTAATGAAAATGTTAAGAGATAAAGCGTGCCAAAGTTCTAAAGAAAAGGCCCGTGACGTCAGTGAGTGCGTAAAAGTGCTGCACTTTGTGACGTCGCGCGGAACTTCAACGCACTATAACTTTGTAATTATTTGTTTGATTGACAATTAAAAATATACGTATCCAATATTTTTTTATATTAAAATTGACAGACTAAAAATTGTTTTTTAGGAAACTAGCCTTTTAGCGGTCCGCCACAGCTTTGCATGGGTAGATATAGGTATTTAACAAAAAAAAAATGTGACGTCAAAATTTTTTGTTATAAGCCATTGAAATTTAGGCGAGCTGTGCTGAGGTCCCTTACAGCGGCAGAAAATACCTAATTAGTCACTGTGTTTCTATTTGTAAGTTTTTAAATTTGCAACTGTCCACATTGCATGCCGTGGCAGCCTTTAATTAAGACAACACTCAGTTCTAAGCACTTTTAGTTATAGTAATTGTATGCGTGTTTGTCTTGTTGGTTGTCCTAATAAATATAATAAAATAAAAAATACCATATGTTAATAAGAAAAAATATTGGATTCTAATGGTAAAATAGTTTTTCAAATCGTTAGTATCAGAGCCTATTCAATACAAACATACAAATCTTTCTTTTTTGTATTCAGTACTAGCTTTCCGCCCGCGGCTTCGCTGCGTGAAATTTTGTCTGTCACAGAAAAACTTTATCGCGCTAGTCCCTGTTTCAAAAACCGGGATAAAAACTATCATATGTCCTTTCCCGGGACTCAAACTATCTCTGCCAAATTTAAATAAGGATTTAATAAAGAACACTCACTCTTGACGTCCGGCGTGTCCGCGGACCGGACAGACGTCGAGTCATCTTCCATCTCCATATGCATCTGAGAGCTGCGATGTTCCTGTATACAAACACACAGTTAAATCATCATCATCAAGCTGTAGATCCTGGCTACACAGGAGTTGCAGAGGGTCTAAAATTTCTTTTAGATTTAGGCGACTTAGCAGCGCGACAAACGCACGACAGACTTTCTGGCGATAATTTCATACTATATGACAGCGGAAGGCTAAGAACTCACGGCGCGATTTTCACCCGCGCCCGCGGCGGTTGTGGAATTGCGGTTTTATTTCAAAACTCACGGGAGCGGTCATTTGCGCGGTTATTCTAAGAACTCACGGCGCGATTTTAATACGTGCCGCGTTGCTGGTACAAAATGGTCGCCCGGCGATCGGGCGGTTTTCGCGCGGACGAAAACCGACGAGCCGGACCCGATTACAACTGCGCCCGCAGCGGGCGAAAACCGGGTCATGAGTTTTGCATTAGGATACAATTATCTATAGGCCAAATAAAATGAAAACTAAAAGTAATGTGCACTAACTCAACTAACATAATATAAGGAAAAATTGTTACTAATCCCTACTAACTATGGATGAAAGTCTGAAATAAATTATTTATTACTAGGTTTCAGCCCGCGGCTTCGCCCGCGTGGAATTTTGTCTGTCACAGAAAAACAATATCGCACGCGTATTTGCTCACCGTTTAGACCTACCCTGGACTACGACAAACATTTTAAAACCAAAATCAGCTCAATCGGCCCAGCCGTTCTCGAGTGTTAATCAGACTAACGAACATCAATTCATTTTTATTTATACAGTGTGTCCGGGCTTGTAGTGATCAAACTTTAAGGGCGTAATCTATGGACAATTTTATCGATGAAAATACTTCAAATTTGGGGCTTGACCCATTTCTCGCAAAATTACGAGGATTTAAGTTTTTAATTTTTAGTTTTCACCTCTTCCTTCAAAAACAAGTGAAAGCGTGGGTAGCTTAACACTAATAAGCAAAAATTTTATATCATGCGATAGCCAATAAAATTATCTATTAGCAGAAGTAGAAAACAGATACAAGTTTCATACATTTTAAGGGAGTAAGAATGGATTTAATTAGAAAAAAACATGACTTTTTTCACTTCTTTTTCAGTTATTTTCCAACACAAGAAAAACCAGGTCGTTAAGGTATGTTTTATTTGCATTGTATTATTAGTATTTGAGCTATTCTACAAAACGAATGTAAATTTATTAGTCTACGTCTATTAGTTTCGACGTAATTGTTGAACAAAGATACCCCTTCCCAGCGGTTTCCATAGTAATCGGAATAGGTTGTGTGATTCTTTCAGGCAGTGCATTTTCGCATGTCGCGTGCGCTATGGAAACCGCTGGGAAGGGGTATCTTTGTTCAACAATTACGTCGAAACTAATAGACGTAGACTAATAAATTTACATTCGTTTTGTAGAATAGCTCAAATACTAATAATACAATGCAAATAAAACATACCTTAACGACCTGGTTTTTCTTGTGTTGGAAAATAACTGAAAAAGAAGTGAAAAAAGTCATGTTTTTTTCTAATTAAATCCATTCTTACTCCCTTAAAATGTATGAAACTTGTATCTGTTTTCTACTTCTGCTAATAGATAATTTTATTGGCTATCGCATGATATAAAATTTTTGCTTATTAGTGTTAAGCTACCCACGCTTTCACTTGTTTTTGAAGGAAGAGGTGAAAACTAAAAATTAAAAACTTAAATCCTCGTAATTTTGCGAGAAATGGGTCAAGCCCCAAATTTGAAGTATTTTCATCGATAAAATTGTCCATAGATTACGCCCTTAAAGTTTGATCACTACAAGCCCGGACACACTGTATAGATTAGTTTTTACATAAGTATCTGCATTGTACAGAAGCTGCGGGCCCGGAACCGCCGCGGGCGCGGGTGAAAATCGCGCCATGAGTTCTTAGCCGAATGCGGATGCATGGCTTCACATTATAAAAACGCCGCTGCCGCGCTGCTGTCGCGCTTCTGACGCCATAATGTGAAAGCGCTCTAACGTAGAATGGTCACTTCGCAAAATGGGCATTTCCATTCTAATATTATACCAACTAACTCTTCAGCCTTTATTTTAATACAGAAAAGTGCGCATTTAACGAAGTGCTCATTCTCCGTCAGACCCGTTGCAGCGGTGGGAACGAGAGGTGGGAATAGTCTTTTTTATCGTCATCATCAGCTTATAGAAAACACCTGCTGGACATGGTAGGATATTACAACTTTTTACAGTAAAAGAACTGTGCATTTTTGTACAATTTATGGTTTTAGTGGAATACAATTTACAAAATATAAAACAATACATTTACAATATATGCTGATAGCTTCTGCGAGTGGATTCACCACAATAATCGAGCGGCGGCGAGTTCGAACCAGCGTTCCTCGGATCTTGAGTCGGCCAGTCCAATACCTTCACCGTTCGACTATTGTTGCTTTTTGATACTGTTAATTATTAGTTAGTATGTTGGCGCAAGTACACAATGCGGAAAATGGACCGAGATGGAACTCGAGCCCGCACTGTAGTATGGACGACCCTTTTTTTTTAAGGGACGCGCGCTGGTAGCTTCAGGAGCTTTTCCAGCTTCACCGGGCAGAGTAGCGAGTACAGAAGGTACTCTAGCCGTTTGGCGATCGCCGGTGCGCGTGCGGTCCTTCGCAGACCGACGTTCGCGATCGGGCTGTATCGAGCGCATAAGGCGCCCGATCAGTGGCGAACCCAACTAGAGGGTTGCCCACCGCGGTGTTGGACCAAAGTCCAGCCTACGGCGGGCTCACTCCAGTGGGCCCGATCGAGGGGAATGGACGACGCACGGCGAAACTAGCCAAAGTGCGTGTTTACACGTCTCTATCAATTTCCCGCATGGTGTACTTGTGCCATATTGTGTGTGTGTGTGTGTGTGATACCTTCGACGCAGGCGGAGGCTCTCGCGGCTGCCGGTCCGGTTCGCAAGCAATGTAAATCAACACGTAACATTAACGAAAATCACTGCAGTCAACGTTCATGGTCATCATCATCATCATTCATCATCATTTCAGCCACAGGACATCCACTGCTGAACATAGGCCTCTCCCAATGACTTCCACATCGCACGGTTGATAGCTTCATCATCATCTAAGATGCTTGATGATGAATCTAGCTAAGCTAAGTGCTTGTGTTAAGACGAGTTCGAGAGCGAACCAGCGTTTCTCGAATCTCGAGTTAGCCAGTCCGAGACCATAAGGACTACATGAAATAATACAGGAGAATTCCCAGCAAGTTTTGGCTTCTGTTAATACAGGGTGGGTCAATTTTTTTTATAAAATCTTGATTTCTCGACAATGGTTCGAGCGAGGGACGCGCGAGTGATGGGAAACTGTGCAATCTTTAGTAAAAAAATACACATATAGTACGATGTCGTTTCATGTCTATAGTAGCTACAAAATAATGAAATTATACACAATTTCCCATCAATCACGCGTCCCTACCTTGAAGCATTTTCGAGAAATCAAGCGTTGCTATTGGCAAAAATTTTTGGCCCACTCTGTATAAATTTTTTTCTTGTCTGTTTAGTTAGAATCCCAGTTTTTTTAAAGCCTGTGGTTACCTTACGCCTCGGGTGGATTGGACCAAACAAAAGTAAATATTAATCTCAGAATAAATGGTCAGTTTTGACATATTTCCCATACTGAATCTGTCAATGTGTCAGTTATACCAGGAGTTATTCTCGGATAAAAGTGTGGTCGAATCGGGCCTAAGTGTTACCTTAAATACTAACCAATTCTCTGGTACTGTTCCTTGTTGGGGCGCCCCTTTCCCTTCCTCGATTTGGTCTATCCATGGTTAGTAAGCGTGCGGAAGCGGACACGTGGTATATGTTAGTTAGATAAATATGTACATATTATTAATATTTTAGTTAGATAATATAAATAAAAGCAGATTTTGTATGTTACAATAAAATTGATGAGACACAATTTTAAAATTTTATGAGAGAAAATATAAAACTTTTTGCTGACATTAATAAAAATAGAAATAAAATAACACGACATCAAAGGATAACTTAGTCCAACAGCGTTAGGTGACTGCGTTAAAACAATCCTAACACCAGCACCGACTTCCAAAGTTGAGCAACTCCGCGCGGTACTCCAGTAATATGTCTCGCAGCTCCTTCTGTGACGTCATATACGATCCCAAACCTAGCACCGACCTTCAAGTCGAATATTAATAAGACATCGATGAACTGTAAAACGAACTGCATCTCTACGTCAGTGTGACGTCACACAGTGTTAGTGCAAGAGAGAACAATATGATGAGCGGCTGCCTCATTTTCACATTTTATTGCACCGTCTGCATTGAGTATAAGTAGCTCCACCGTTCTCAGCTGTTCCTACGAGTAAAACATTAAAATCGCGTTAGGTGAAAGCGTTAAAACAATCACAACACCGACCTCTGAATCGTCGTCGAGCAGCTCTTCCTCGACAACCTCCGCGCGGTACTCGAGCAATAAGTCTCGCAGCGGCTTCGCGTCGAGAGCTCCTGAGACGAACGGATGCGCTAGTAGTTCTACCGCTGTCGGCCGCTTTTCTGGGTCCTGGGGAAGAGAGGAACAGTTGATTTATTTATGTTGGTTCATCATCATCAGGTAATGTAATCTTCAATGAAGAAAGTTGCAATGTTGGGCGATTAGGGTGATGTGAATAATCAAGACTTACTGGGCCTTATTACAAAAAAATTAAACCCGGGACGAACTCTTGTTTAAAATGACATTTCCATACTAAATGTCAATTTAAACCAGGGTTCAAACTGAGACTAACTTTTTGTAATAAGGGGGACTGTGATTTAGGCCCAGTCTCCGCCAAAGCGAAGAAGAAAGAAGATGTGTTTGAACAACCAATCGGATTTCGTTATTTCTAATCACCTCTTCGCTCATTTGTGGTTCTAAATCTGATTGGTTATCCAAACCCCGTTTATTGAAATCCTTGTACACTATGGGAAAAGCGAGTGTTATTCGTAGTGCTTAATACACTACAAGGTCGACACTCTACTTTACTAGTCATACACTGAAGAAGGCAGAGGGTAGTCTACCAGAGTAAATAGGACCATACTCACTTCTCACTCATTCCCAAGTGCCACCACATTGGCAATGAGGGCTATCGTTTTTATACTTAACAGTTGGCACCCCTGGCGATTGACAGGACCTTACTCTACAGTGGCGCCATCTTGATGAGTGCAAATGCGATAGTCCTCCTACCACTTTAGCGCTCACCAGTTGGTGCCACTGTCTTCGCTACTAGCAAGTGACAGGACCTTACTCTACAGTGGCGCTAATTGGTGAGCGCTAAAACGATAGCCCTCATTGGATGATTTGGCCTACCACGCTAGCCAGACGGTTGGAGAGGCCTGATATTCGCGTACTTGACGCCTCTTACGACTTCCATAGAAAGAGTGGGAGTCAGTGGGAGTCATTCTATATTCCTACGACGTAGGGCGGCTCGCTCTAGCTCGACGTAGGGCGGTGTAGGGCGGTTATCTTGACGAGCGCCTTGGCTATGAAGTCGTTGAAGTGCCGCGACCAGCGCGAGGGCGCGTCGAGGGCGGGCGGCTCNGCGGTGTAGGGCGGTTACCTTGACGAGCGCCTTGGCTATGAAGTCGCTGAAGTGGCGCGACCAGCGCGAGGGCCCGTCTTGGGCGGGCGGCTCGCTCTAGCTCGACGTAGGGCGGTGTAGGGCGGTTACCTTGACGAGCGCCTTGGCTATGAAGTCGTTGAAGTGGCGCGACCAGCGCGAGGGCGCGTCGAGGGCGGGCGGCTCGCTCTTCTGGATCTTGAGCAGCACTCGCATCGGCGTCATCTCGTGGTTGGGCGGCTCCATTTGCGCGAACTCGATTAATGTGATGCCTAGTGACCAGATGTCCACCTGCGAAATAAAATAATATTGATTACATATTTGGTGACTTATCAGCCGTTTGGTGTAATGGTCGCAGGTTTTAGGTTTTTTTCAAAACAATTGAGTTTGTGTTACGAGTGACTTCACCACAATAGCCAAGCGGCGGCAGGAATCGAACCCCCATTCTTCGGATCGGTGATCATAAGTCGGCCTGTCCGACACCTTCGCCTTTCAGCTATCGTCACGTTTTAACACGCTTTTATTAGGTCCACTTGTTTAGTCTTGGTGAACAATGCACTAGGATTCTTTGAAAATATTTACTCGGAGGATCCATTCACGGAGCTCGCTCTGCCACTTATTATACAGGGTGTTAGGTAAATGGGTATATGAGCCGACACTAGCCCATATTAACATAGTCATATAAATGGTATGGTGAAGTCAGAAAATTGATATCTTCATTTTAATTATTTTATTTTTCATACAAATCGATTTTATGAAATTTATTTTGTATGAAAATAAAAAAATTAAATGATGATATTAAATTTCTGACTTCACCATACCATTTATATGCCCATGTTAACATGGGCTAGTGTCGGCTCATATACCCATTTACCTAACACCCTGTATATTCACCATTAACCTCGTAAGACCGAAGAGTAAATTTTGTCGACTTCTAAGTATCGCCGGATGTGCTTTCAGAAGAACGAATAATTTGAAGTAGTAAACGCCGAGCACTTCGAGTAAAAAAATTTCTATGTTAGAGATTTTCTTTTGCATTCATATTTTCAGGGGCCGTATACAGGGTGTTGATTTCAATACTCGCCATATTTATTTAGGTGATATATTATGACTTACATAAACGCATTATCCACCAAAAAATAAATTACAAACGAAAGTGGAATTTTTAGCGAATATTTTCCGTGCAACATCAACTGTACTATGGCTCGCAATAATGCAATATA